ATATTATTACTTGAACGACGTCAAAAGTGGTCGTAAATCTTGAATTAGAAACGAGAAATGATGGATGTTTCGAATGTATGGAAGTATGCAGGTTGTTTCTAATTAAGATTAATTAGATGAATTTTATTCGGTTCGATGAATAATTAAAGGGTAAATGTGTATTTTTCTTTAATTAAAACGAAACGGCGATACGAGATCTTTTCCCTCGCCGTTCTCTCTCGCCTCGCGTGTTACTCGAGATCAATCTGATCCCGCGATTCGAAAATTGAAGATTGATCAAGTAAGTGAATTATAATTATTGACATATATTAGAAATGGTAAATTATACTATAAATTATTAATTAGGAAGGATCGTAGAAGTTTGTAGATTGCGATCTGCGCGTTAATAAAGAAAAGGAAATAAAATATAAATAGAAATCATAAAGATCCGGGATACGTAATAACTTGGAAAATTGTTCCAATACTAAAAAAAAAAAAAAGAAATTCCTTCTTTACATACCTATTCTAAATTTCCAGATCTCGAACGATCTTCCTCGTCGAACGTTGTTCCGTTTCTTCAAAATAAACAATACAATAATTTCGATAATTTTAATCGTCGACAAATTAAACGAAGAATCTAGATATTCTTCCTGTTCCCTGTCCCGTTAAAAAGAAAAGAAAAAGAGAGAGAGAGAGAAATGGTAGAAGCATGCATCATCTGCATAGACTGGAGAGACCACTTCCTCCGCAACATCTTGCACAATGCACGATAATCCAACAATGGTGGCCAAGAAACGCGTGGATCACAATGGTTGCCTCGGAAACCGAGAAGTTTGACGGTGAGCAGACGAATTGCCGTATCGCGGAAGAACCGCCGCCCATTGTTTTTGAATCTTATTGTTTCCTCGGGAGACAGAGTAACGACAGCCTCGCGTGTCCATTCGCGAGGATATTCGAGGATGCTAATCCATCCCTATCTCTCGTCTAATAATTGATAATATACCCATCCCTTCCGACTCTTTTCTTCCAATTCAACGAATTTAATTATTCGTAAAAATTGAAGATCGAAAATCAACCTACCTTGAAAATAGCTCTTCGTCCGAAGGTAGCTGACGCTGAGTCTGAGGATGCTGAGTCTGTCCAGCTTGCTGAGGATATTTTGCTCGAACGGGAGCAACGAGGCCAAAGTGTCCAACTCGGCGTTCAATCGCTCCCGATGTCGCTTGCTGGGATTCGATTTTGTCACCCCATCCTTCTGCGGTGGTTTCAAGCTGTAAGATCGAAGCGAGATGCCGTATATTTATATAATATCCTTTCGAAAATTCTCGACGATAAGTTTCAAGATATATTTTAAGATATTAAAAAGAAAAATTAAAAGAATAGAAAAGGAAGGAAAATAAAAAAAAAAGAATGGAGATAATTCAAGGTTCAACCTTCGAACCTGGTTACAGGAATTCCTCGGCCACCTTCGAGGCTCGAACAACAGGCGGCCTACGAAGCGAAAACGATCTCGATAATTAAAGGCGACCACTGTTCGAGGGTTGATTGACACGCGAGGAAACCCTGCGGACCGATATGCCCACTCAATGATTTCGAATTCTTCGGGATAAGTATAGTTATTACTTAAGTATTTCTCCCATCTGCACTCCCTTTCCATTCCTTTTTCCCTTTTTTTTCTTTTTTTTTTTTTTCGTTTCTTCACAATTTCTTTCCTTCCACCACGTTTTCTCTTACGTATCTCTCGTCTCCTTTTCTCCTTTCTCGGCTTTCTCTCCCCCAGGTTTATCTCCAGGAACGGGACATAAAATGTATGAATTGTAATTATGACGAGTGTAGAAGTTGACTACCGAACCACGTGGTGGTCGGTATCATCATTGGCGTAACCGCTATTTTATTTTGTTCGATTTTATGCGATTTATAACATTCCGGAGAGGGACGCTTAAAGATACGACGAGAAGAAAATGAATTGACAAAATAAATTTCGAACGATTCTACGGAAATTGAAAGAAAAAGAATGAAAAAAGAAAATCTCGTAGACAGATTTTTCAAAAAGTTGCATCGATCGAATGTTTTTTGCCGATCTTACACGATTTATATTCCATGAAATTATCGAACGAGACGTCAATGCTCGTTTTTACGTTTTTACGTAGATACAAGGTTACCGAGTACATATACGAATCGCTTATTTAATTGAACCGTTCACCATGGAATTGAGATTCCATGGCGGACAAATATGGAATCATGACGTTTTTGCATTTCAGGTAAACAATTTAAATGACCCAACTTTATATATACACCTTTTTAAACGAAACTTTTATCATCGCATCTTTCAACTCGAAATAATTGTAATTTTTATTCTTTAATTATGATACTCTCATCGTACAAAGATAATATTTTTTTTCACTACTCTCTCTCTCTTTCTCTCTCTATCTATCTACTTATCTATCTATATATATATTATTCCATCGTTCAATTTCAAAAAAGCGAAGTCTCTCTCGCTCGAGAGAGAATTTGAAACTTCGACTCGACGACATTTTATCTATTTCCTCTCCCTTCAAGATTAAATTGTTGCCCGTGATATTTACGCGGGCGAGTCGCAAAGGGAGACGAGGAAAAAAGGGGGAGAGAAGCGTGTGTGGAAATAGGAAAGGAAAGAAAGGAACGTGGAAGGAAAAACGGCGATGGCCTTAATTAAAATGCTTAGGGGTTAGAAAGCGTGATGAATGAGATTGGCGGCCGTGGCGCGCGATGGGCAGCACCGGGAGAGAGAGAGAGAGAGAGAGAGAGAGAGAGAGAGAGAGAGAGAGAG